ATATTACCTTCTAATCCCTGTGGATACGATATTTTTACTACTTGAACGGTCGGTATACTTGTCGTGTTTGAGACCGTTGATGGAATTAAACTGATTTACAATTATAACAAAAGTACTTCAACGGAAATCTCAACAGCCACCGAGAGAGTTGTGGAGGCCAGGAGTCCCGTGATTGTGTCGAAGGCTGTCGGTGAGGCTTCCCACAAGCGTCGCAGGGAGTCCGATAAGGCTGTATCGGTGGTGAACCTGGAGACGGTAATGGCCACCGAGATGGAGAAAGGCGACACGGAAGTTCAGTCCGCCGAGAGGACTCTGAGTGTATGTCTCGGCGAGAATTGGGAGCCAGTGGGCCACGGAGTTGATCATGACCATGTGGCTTCTTTCTGGGACGAGAAGTTTAACCACAGTGCTCATATTCGTGGTACCGACTTGCTGGATGGGGACCGAGGCGATCTAGAGAAAATGAGTGATTTTTCCATCGCCAAGGGCGTTGAATCGCTGACGAATCGCCTCTCTGCTCTTTCACTTATCAAGGAAGATAAGATTCGTGGGTTAGTGAGGGAGACGAAGGTGCAGGGGAAAAGGATTTCTTCCTTGGAAGAAAGTTTGAATAAGAGCAAAGCTGACTTCAAGTGGGTGGCCAACGAACGAGATAAGTTACTGGAAGGGCGTCGCGTCTTCGAAGGAGAGAAACAAGGTTGGGCTGCCGAGAAGGTGGCGATGGAGAGCGAGTTGGTCGAGATGCGCCTAGCCAGGGACAAGTCAGCCGACGCTGCGAGTGTCTTTGAGACCGACTTGTCTTTGATAAAGCTGGAGGTAGAGAAACTCCAAAATGACCTTCAAGCAGCGAAGATGGACTCTATGAAGAAATTTGTTCAGGCTTCGATGCGGCGAGTTCCCAGATAAAATTTCTGCATGCCGATCTTGATATTGGGGGCATGGGCTACTTTAAGGAGATCGTGAATGGCGAACTGGTGGATCCTCCTGAGGAAGATTGAATGTTACCTTATTAGGCTACTTTTTCCTTTATGCCTTTATGTTTTTTCTCTTCTTTTCTAATCGTTTGTATGAACTATCGTTATCGTTCCTTTTGGAACCCTATATGAAAATTATGCGTTGTTTTTTATTGCAACACGACAAGCAAATTGCTATAACAACGAAAAAATTTTCTAAGGTAATAATTAGCCGCCTTGGCCGACTGCTATGACAACGAAAAATTTTCTAAGTTAAAGACGTAATTTCATGAAGCCATTTGGCCGAATTCCTATTTATTTGACACGAAAAAAAAATTTCTAAGTTAAAAAAATAATTGTACGAAGAAAATCGGTCGAATTCCAACTCTTTTTTCTAAGCTTAAAAGGTGAAATTTTTCATAAAAGGTCGGTAAAATTCTGATTCAAATGGGACGAAAAAACTTTCTAAGTTAAAAAGGTAAAATTCCACATAAAAGGTCGGTAAAATTCCGATTCAAATGGGACGAAAAACTTTCTAAGTTAAAAAGGTAAAATTCCACATAAAAGGTCGGTAAAATTCCGATTCAAATGGGACGAAAAACTTTCTAAGTTAAAAAGGTAAAATTCCACATAAAAGGTCGGTAAAATTCCGATTCAAATGGGACGAAAAACTTTCTAAGTTAAAAAGGTAAAATTCCACATAAAAGGTCGGTAAAAATCCGACACGTAATGATTAAAAAATTTAAGCTTAAAGAGGTGCTTCGTAATTACAGTCGGCCAAGCCTGACTTGTTTGGATAGAAAAATTTCCAATCTGACATGAACGTCAAGTGCGATGATTGCCTGAATTCCGAGTCAACGTGGTTTAGGGCTTTGGGTTTAGGAATCACCCAGTGGGGGGTTCGCCGAGTAAGGGATCACCCTTCCGCGAGGGATGGTCGGCCATATTCCGACTTGTATGAGTTGGATTGTCAAATCTCCGAGTCTTGAGATGTGAGAAATTTACTTAGTTAGGAAAAATCATCATTTAAAAGTAGTCGGTCGATTCCCGACTCACGTTCCTTGGTCATAGTCGGCCAATTGCCGTCCCAATTCTTCTTTGGTCACATAATCTAACTTCGTCTGCCAGTTATGAGTCTGTCTTCGAGTTGTTTATACTCGCCCAGTCGGACTTTGGCCGACAATCACGAGTTTAGTTCTTCGAGTTATTTATACTCGCCCAGTCAGACTTTTGCCGACAATCACGAGTTTAGTTCTTCGAGTTATTTATACTCGCCCAGTCGGACTTTTGCCGACAATCACGAGTTTAGTCTCTCTTCTGTATAAAAAATGTCAAAAGATCATATGAGGGATAATAATATTCATTAAATAGACAAATTATTGGATTGTGGTGCCTCGTTAAAAACCTTCTCAGCAAAAACCCCTCTCATTCTGGATGGGGAAAAAATACTGAGTTAGGAAAAGAGTGCACCTTCTACAAATGAATAAACTAACTGTAATAGAAACGTAAGTTGGCTGTGTTCCAAGTTCTCGGGATCGTCCCTCCGTCCAAGGTCCTCAGTCGGTAAGTTCCTTTGCCGACCACATCATCAATTTTATAAGGGCCGACCCACTTAGGTGACAACTTGTTCTTCATCTGAGTTAGCTGAGCACGCCTCAACACGAGGTCTCCTACAACAAAATCTCTCGGGATGACTTTTGTATTGTACTTGAAGGCTGCTCTTCTCTGGGCTGCTACTTGACTTATTCTTGCTCTCTCTCTTGTTTCCGTGATCAAATCCAAATCCACTCGTCTTCCCTGGTCGGACTCCTCCTCCGAAAAAGCTGTAGTGCGTACTGACGGCTCTGCAATTACAATCGGGATCATGGCGTCTGTTCCGTACACTAAATTGAAAGGAGTGTCTTGGGTCGACGAATGAACTGTTATGTGGTATGACCATAGCACTCGGGGAAGCTCTTCCACCCATGAAGCGCCTGAATCTTGGACGCGCTTCTTCAGTCCCGAGAGTATAACTTTGTTGGCCGACTCTGCCTGGCCGTTGGATTGGGGGTGTTCGACAGAAGTGAAAGTCATTCGAATACCGACCCCTTTACAGAAATCACGAACTCTATTACTTGCAAATTGTGTCCCGTTGTCGGAGACAAGCACTTGAGGAACACCATACCTGCACACCACGTTTTTCCACAAAAACGCCCTTACTTTCTCTGCTGAAATAGTTGCAACCGGCTCTGCCTCGATCCACTTGCTGAAGTAGTCCACGGCTACTATCAAGAATTTCAACTGCCTTACCGCGATCGGAAATGGACCGAGAATATCAATACCCCACTTGTGGAAAGGCCAGGGAGATAGAATTGAATGTAATCGTTCAGCTGGGGAATGGAGTAGGGTTGCATGTCTTTGGCATCCATCACACTTTTAGACCCAATTGACGCAGTCGTTCCTCAAGGATGGCCAGAAGTACCCCGCCCGGGCAACTTTATACACTAAAGCTCGTCCTCCAATATGACTTCCACACATTCCGCTATGCACTTCATCCATCACTCTCTGCGCTTGTGACGTGGTCAAACACCTCAAAAGAGAAGAGCTGAAACCTCTCCGATACAACCTTTCATTGATGACCACAAACCTGGCTGACTCTCTCTGTATCAATGACGCCTCCCTTTTGTCCTCTGGTAGTTCTCCCCGAGTCAAGTATGCGATGTACGGTCCCATCCACGAATCAAGTTCTTCCTGGACAAAAAGGACATTCCCATGCGCCTCATTTATACTCGGTTGTGCTAACGTCTCTTGGATGACTGACCGAGTAGCCCCTGGTTTCTTTGTACTTGCTAATTTAGACAACAGATCGGCTCGTGAATTTTGCTCTCGAGGGACATGATTCAGCGAAAATTTGGTAAAGTCAGCCGACATGTCCTTTACCCTTTCCAGGTACCGAGCTAGCTAGGGATCTTTTTCCTGGAAAGTTCCTGCTACCTGCCCCGTCACAAGTTGCGAGTCGCTCCTGGCCGAGAGGCTTGTTGCACCCATTTCCTTCGCCAAAGCCATCCCTGCCAACAGCGCTTCATACTCTGCCTGATTGTTGCTAGCTCGAAACTCAAAGCGTAGCGACTGTTCCAAGAGTATGCCTCCTGGTTCCTCAAGGACGATCCCGGCTCCGCTGCCACCTATGTTGGAGGCTCCGTCGACCGATAAGACCCACTCGCTTTCCCCAGAAGGATCACCCTCAGCTGGCAGGGTCAGTCCGACCAAGAAGTCGGCCAACACTTGAGCTTTGATGGGTCCTCTCGGCTCGTATTTGATTGCAAACTCTGACAACTCGATGGACCACTTCATCATTCTGCCAGCAAGGTCGGGCTTTTGCAACACCTATCTGATGGGGTAGTCTGTTCGAACTACCGTTTCGTAGCTTTGAAAATAGTGTCTGAGCTTTCGCGCGGTTATCACTATGGTAAGTGCCAGCTTCTCAATCTTTTGATAGCGAACCTCTGCCCCTTGCAACACCCTACTAACAAAATAGATCGGTAGTTGGGAGTTACCCTTCTCTTGCACCACGACTGCGCTGACGGCGTTATCGGATGCCGACAAATATACCAACAAAAGGGAGTCAACTTGCAGTTTAGTGAGAATCGGCGGTGAGGTGAGAGCCTGTTTGAGTTCGCCGAATGCTCTTTCACATTCGTCAGTCCATGCGAAGCGGTCGTTCTTTCTCAAACATTGGAACAAGGGTAACGACTTGTCCGCTGCCTTTGAAAGAAACCGAGAGAGGGAGGTCATTCTCCCTGTCAACTGCTGGACCTCCTTCACCGTCGCAGGACTTCTCATATTAATTATTGCGGAGCACTTGTCCGGATTCGCCTCAATACCTCGATGAGTCAATAGGAAATCGAGGAATTTTCCGGCTTGAACGCCGAAAGAGCACTTCACAGGGTTCAACTTGAGTTGGTATCGTGCCAGAGTGTCGAACGATTCCTGTAAGTCGGAAAAATGCCGAGACACACTAGGCGAATTGACGACCATGTCGTCTACGTACGCCTCAACATTCCTTCCTCACTGATCTGCCAACACCTTGTCCATGAGCCTCTGGTACGTCGCCCCTGCATTTTTTAAACCGAAAGCCATGACCTTATAATAGTAGGTGGCCTGATCGGCTATGAAAGCAGTTTTGTCTTCATCGGCATGATGCATCCTGATCTGATTGTACCCCGAATACGCGTCCATGAAGCTCAACAGTTCATAGCCTGATGCGTTGTCGACTAGGCAATCGATGTTAAGCAGCGGGTACGAATCTTTTGGACAGGCTTTGTTCAAATCCGTGAAGTCGGTGCACATCCTCCAGTTTCCATTGCTCTTTCGTACCATTACCACATTCGCTAGCCACGTCGGGTATTGGATTTCCCGAATGTGTCCAGCCGACAACAGCTTCCTCGTCTCCTCCGCTATAGCTTTCCTTTTGTCCTCGCCGAACTTTCGCCTTTTTTGGGTCACCGGCTTCGCCTTGGGGTCCACCATGAGATGGTGACATAGGAAGTCGGGGTCAATACCTAGCATGTCGCCGGTACTCCACGCAAAGGCCGACACGTTGTTTTTCAACATAGTGAGCAGCCCCTCCTCGTCTTCTTTGGCCAAAGATACACCCATTTTGACTATTTTCCCTTCGGCTAAGGTAACTTCCTTCACGTCCTCCACGGGGACTGGTCGGGAGTCGAAATGAGTTATCCTCGGATCTAACTCGATTGACTGGATTCCCCGATCGACTTGCGTTACATATAGGTGTCTCCTAGCCCTCAAACTGTCCTCATAGCATTTTCTCGCGACTTCTTGATCGACACAGAGGACCCCAACCTTTCCGTTGGGCAAAGGATACTTCAACTTCAAGTGGGGTGTGGACACGACCGCTCCCAACCTGTTCTGTGTAGGACGGCCGACCAGTATGCTGTAGGATGATTGGGCGTTCACCACCAGGTATCGGACAATGATAGTCTTCATGTGGTCTCCCCGACCGAAAATAGTCTCCAAGTCGCCGTACCCCCTAGCCGTTACCTGATCACCTGCAAAACCAACTAACGTACCTACATAGGGCATAAGACGGTCAGTCGGAATTTTCATCCCGATAAAAGCTTCCCAGAACATGATGTCCGCCGAGCTACCTTGATCCACCAACACTCGCTTCACATTGTAGCCCATGACGATTGCCGAGACGACTATGTGGTCGTCCTCATGGGGAGACACCCCCTCGAAGTCGGCGTCCGAGAACGTGATGGCAGACTAGGAAGGTTTTTCCCAATCCGAGACCAACAATACGGAACGAGAGTATCTCTTCCGTGCTGACGATGTTGGACCTCCTCCGGCGAATCCCCCCGCTATGGTGTTAAAGTCTCCATGAACAGCCTGTTGGTGGGTCTCTGAACTCTTCTCCGGGATGTCTCTTGGAGGAGATCTCCCTTTGCGTCTTCCTCCCCTCGCATCTTCCCCTTCATGTCTGCGTCGTCTGTCCGACGAGCCTTACTAATGCTTACATGTGATGAACTTCTTCAGGCGGCCTTCCTTGATGAGACGCTCAATCGGCCTACCGAGAACAAAGCAATTCTCCGTAGTGTGTCCATGGGTGCGATGAAACTCACACCAGTCGGTCTTGTAAGGGCCCAACTGGCGGTCGGTCGTCACCGGAAACTCGAAGAGCGAAGCGTTGTTGACTTCATGGAGTATGTGCCTCCTAGGGACGTTGAGTGGGGTGAATTTTTCTTGCTCGTTGCTTCGTACCCAATCGCCCTTCGCCCGACCGCCATGATCCGCCTGCCTACGATTTCCCTCCTTGGGATCGTAGTGATCACGTCGCTTGCTCCAGTCTGAGCGTACCCGGAGGTGCTTGTTGCCTTCCTTATTACTGCCCCCCGCCTCTCGGCTTTCCGCCGCTCTTTTAACAATTTGGTTTTCCTCCGTCTTGATGTGACTCAAGGCGAAGGCCCTCACCTCTGACATCGTTTGACAGTTAGCTTTGTCGAGGGCGATGTCGAAAGCTCCGGACCTTAAGCCCTTCTGGAATGTTATGACTGCCATCCTCTCGTCCAACGACCCTATTCTCAAGGCGACCTCGTTGAACCTTTGTAGAAAATCCTTTAATGACTCCCCGCGTTGCTGCTTGAGGTCGAACAAGTCCGCCGTGATCGGTGATTTCTTCTTGTTGGCAACGAATTGCGCCATGAAGAGCCGACCGAAGACGTCGAAGTCGGTGATTGATCGGTCAGGGAGACTACTAAACCAATCAAGCGCTGCCTTTTTGAGTGTGCCCATGAATAGTTTCTAGCGGACCTCCATGCTCCCTCCACAGATCAACATTTGAGCTCGGAAATCCGTCAAATGCTGACTGGGATCCTGTGTCCCATCGAAAGGCTCGACTTGGGGTATCCGATGGTCCCTGGGGATGATCTCGGCCTCTATGGCTTCCGAGAAAGGTCAAAAATCCCTAGGGACTTCCAGTATGACATCCTCCTCCACCATCCTGGTACTAGCCGCTATTCTGGCCTGCATCTCATCTGCGCGTCTCCTGATCTCCTCGTTCTCACGTTGGCTGGCCTCCTCTCTCTCCCTGGATCGCGCATTTTCCTCCCTTAAGCCATTGATCATGGCCATCATCTCCTCCATAGTAGGGGGTTGTGAGTTGTTGTTATTGTCGCCTCTCGCCATGGTAAAGTGTAGGTTTTTTTGTATTTCTTGGGGCATAGGAAAAGTTTCACCGTAGCCCCACGGTGGGCGCCAAAATGTTCTAGCCAAAGGGTGGACTAGGGTTTTTTCCTAGATCGTGCCTTAGAGCCAGAGCATTCAAAAGTGTAATTTGCCTTCTTAGCCTTAGGGTTTTAGGTTTTATACTTCGTTGCCCATGGGCCTCATGGGCCCCAAGAACATAGGGATTTCCTCAATCGTTCTTGCTACGAGGCCGCAAAATGAGTGAGGATTAGTCAAGTCGGATTTTGACCGACTAGGCCTGTGCCAAGGGTCCAATCGGGTAAATGCCGAGAGACCCCCTTATAAGCGAGTGAAGCCGAGCTAGGACCGAGTCGGCTTGCTCACCAAGGATCCAGTCGGGTGCGTGCCGAGTGGCCCCCTTATAGGCGAGTGGAGCCGAGCTAGGATCGAGTCGGCTTGCTCACCAAAGATCCAGTCGGGTGCGCGCCGAGTGACCCCCTTATAGGCGAGTGGAGTCGAGCTAGGAGTGAGTCGGCTCGCGTAGAGATGTTAACTCGGTTGTAGGCCGAGTGGTTTCCAGTCAAACAGAGGATCAAGTCGGGTTTTGACCTGGACGGTACACTAGCCTTCCAGCCCTGAGCCGATAAGGCGAGAGGGCTTGTGGCCTGGTAACTTAGTCGGGTATCAACCGAATAGAGGTCAGTCGAATTTTGACCTGAACGGTACAGATTTTTATTATGATTAACTTTGTAATATTTCTCACCTTTACAAACAGAAATATTTATTTTTCTCCCATGATTTTTTTATGCTTAAGATACTATTAATCGATAACTAAAGACTAATTATTGATTGTTTATCAGAGTTTTTTCTCTTTTTAAATAAAGTCTTATTCATAAAAAAAACTTTAAATTGAATTTTTAATAATATATTTAAAGATTTCAATCATCTATCAGCTATGTTAAATTTTGTTGCTCATAATTTGTTATCTTTATTTTCTTTTTTCTTACCTAAATGTAAATATTTGTATCATAAATTATCTTTTAAGATAAATGTTGGTAATATTCTTTCTATTATGTTTGTTTCACTAATGTATATGACACTTTTTATTATGAGTAAAATAAATTTTTATGTCAGTTTAAGGTCTGTCATAGATCCCGATAATATACAAAGTATTAACTTTTTATGTCAATTATAAAAAAAAATTGACATAGAAGATTTTGACTTTTTATGTCGGTTATAAAAATAACTGACATAAAAAGTTTTATTTTTTTGTTAACAAATGTTTCTTTGCTATGTTTTTTCCTTTTCATTATGTCTCTTTGTATTTCATTACCACGCTATTGTTTATTTTCATTATTGCATCTCTTCGTGTTTCATCATTACACTTTTTCTTTTTTGTTGCATCTCTTCATATTTCAGCATTTATTTTTCTTATCGCATTTTCATCATCATGCTCTTTCTCTTTTGTCAACCAACAACATCAAACAACACCAACACCATAGCGAAATGCACGAAAAAGAGAAGAGAATGAGAACAAACCTAGGAGTGTGATAATGATTGAACGGTTGCGAGAACAAGAATGAATAGAAGAAGAGTACAAGAACAAATGGAGGGTTTTACTAGAAATTATCTTAACGATTATTGAAATTTCCTTAACAATGTACAAAAGTTTGTCGTTAGTAAAACCTCTTTTTCCTAAACAAAAAACTAAATAAAACAGTGAAACAGGAATTGGGTTTGCACTCTCAATGTAACTAAGAAGAAGATATTTTATGGGAGGTGACGATATTTGTGTCATAAAATATTTTGTATATAACAAGTAAATCAACATCTATCATAAAAAGGTTGAAGACAAAGACTGACCAACATATTTTATGATGAATGTTGACTTACTCGATATAGAAAGAACATTTTATAATGGATAAGTCAAAATTTGTCATAGAATATTTTGACATATTTACAAGTATGTCACTACACCACTTTTCTATATTGTGTGGATAATACCTAACATATAAAATGCACTAGAAAATCTTATTTTTACACTAGTGTTTAATTAAAAAACAAATTTTATGTTTTTTTCAAGGATGCTTATTTTTTTTAAGAAGCATTTCCTATTGGTTTTATAAAAATATTACTTTTAAAAAATCATTTTTTAGAATACTTTTAATTTTAAACAAATAAGCTCATATTTCACCAAAACTTTTAGAAATTACAAAAATTAACCAATCTCATTCTCATTCAATATATATGTTTCTCCTAAATTAAAACAAAATTCATTAAATTTATAATTTCTAATAACAAGAGTATTAGCCAAAGTGTTACTAGTTTGATGTCTTTATTTTTCTTTAGTCACGGTACTACATGTTTACATAAATATTAAAAAGCCAGTAGTGTTATTTTTACTTCTCGATATAAAAAATACATAATAACATATGATCTATTTCATTTTCAAGATTAAAATTTGAATATTGAAGAAATTTGTTAAGAGACAGAGCCATTTTGTATCAACTAGTATAGGTGTTAGAGTAGAAATTTATTTTATACATTATTATATCTTCAAAATAATTTAACTAAAATAATGCCTTTTTTTTTAAGTCCTTTGGCCTAATTATGCGAAGAGTAAGAAAACCAGAGTTCGAGACAAGACGGGGATCTGTTTACAATTTTGCACAAAGAATCAATTGTCTTTGCTGTGTATATATTCTATTTCTAATACAAATCAGTAATTATCCACGACACAATTGCTTTTAATGACTTAAATTTTCTAAATAAAATAGGGCAAAAGTCAAAGAACATTAACTATCAAATTCAATTGTATAAGAGAAATAGAAATTAACGTCTTTAAGATATTGATTAAAAAATGAAGAATTTTATATAAAAAAGAATATAATTCCACTATAATTTGTAATAGATCTGAATAAGGTAAGAACATTACTTTAGTTTAGAGTATAATTTATTTTTAAAAAGAAATGAATAAATGAAAGAATATATGGGATTCCGTAAGTTTGAGTGGTTGATTAGACGAGCGTGGAGCAAGCTGAGGTTTTAGGGTCAAGGAGAGCGGGCAACAAATACTTCCTTCCGTTGACTGCGTTGGCGTTGTAGCTGGCTACCGTGGTGGGGTCCACCAGAAGGTTCCCCGCGTAGCCAGGGTACGCGCCCTTACCGTACACCCCCGTGCACGCGGACCCAGCTTCCAACGGAGCCTCCTTGGGCCCCTGGAAGTACCCGTTCCCGAAGGGGTTCGTGACGGTCCCAGCCAAGAGGCTAGCGATGTTTATGACCATGCCGTCCAGGCCCACGTCGTTGTTGGGCGCAACCAAGGGCGAGCTCTGTGGGCCGTAAATGGGCTGGTGGAAGGGCCACGCGCACTGCCCCGGACACTGCGTCTCGGAGTTTCCCACCCATATGTAGGCGAACTTGTAGCGCTTTCCATTCACGCGCGCCCCCACGGAAGACCCGTGGGTGCCGCATCTACTGGAACAGAACCCCTCCACGGCCACGTCAGCAGAGGTGAGGACAACGTTGATGGCGTTTCGCTGGGGACCCTTGGATGCCAGTTTTAGGATTTGGTCGGTGGTGAGTGATTTTCCCAATGAGTAAATCTCGTCCAGGATTTGCGTGCCGAGGCTGAGGCTGAGGCTGAGGGCGGGTTTGGGGGATCTGGGTTTGTAGTATTTTTCGGTGGCTTTGAACCACGTGGCCACCGATGGTTGGGCGGTGATGGGTTTGGAAGAGGAGAGGGAGGTGATGAAATCGGCAATGATGGCTTTTTGGGAAGGTTTGAAGTTTCCGTACCAAATGAGGTTGACGGAGATTTTGCCTGTTAAGAGAGGCCCTCTGTGGTATTGGAATTGCAATTGTGGCTCTGACTCGGTGAGTTTCCTCGCTGAACTAGAATGAAGAACGGAAATAGTAACAAAAAGGGTGAAGAGAATGGTTGAGGACGTGAGAGAGGCCATTTGTGTAGTTGTAAGTGAGGTGATGAAAAGAGTGATGTGGTGGTGAATATATATAGTGGGTGGGTGTGAAGTGAAATTACGAGGTGCCACTTGATGACGCGTTTGTGTTACATGATGAAATTGAATAAGGTTGTGTTGTTGTGCGGCGAGGTTTTAAGTTAGGAGTAGTTTATTTTTTAGGGAACGTAGTGGTACTGGTGGTCTCATAACATATCTCGTGAGGGTACGCGGGGACAGGGTATGGCCAGCTAAGGCATGGAATATAACAGCACTGAAACGGGACAAAAAGACAAACCCGTGTACCCTTTGTACAAGGCCAGGATCCCTTTTATTTGCTACTTGCTCACCCATACCTCTTAAATCTTAATTGCTGCATCTGCTTCCTAATTTGCCTGTTTCCGTTTTCTACACAGCCACCATAATTTCACTTCTCCATCTTATTTGTTTTCGTGCTAGTTCAGGAAATGTTGTGTGTTCAACTGGATGTCATTAAAAAATTAAAAAAGTTTCTAACATAATGCTTTTGTTGGATTTTAGTGTTTTTCGCCAAGTTTTTTCCCTTCTAAAATATTGGAGCAGTATAAAAATAAATAAAAGGCGAATCTTTTTAAGATAGGCTCTTTGTAGTTAAGACTTTTTTTAGATCATGTGAAGAGATGTTCCAAAGTTAAGATATACAGTTTCTCAAATATTCCAAATAATTAAGAAAAAATTGTTTATAAATCATTTTAAGAACAGGCCCTCAACTAGTTTGAAAATCCATTCAAATCCAACGATCTGCCTCCCAAAGTGAAAAGTTTTATTGAGTTGTATTTGGATGGGAGCATCGCTTGTAAAAAAAAAAATTAGTTGTCACTTCAAAACATTTAGAGGTGTATATATATACGACAGGTCATCTACATGTTGATCCAACATCATATAAGATGACATATTTTAAGACATAAAAAAGACATCATAATTTACAAAATTATATAATATTAATAACATACGTCGGATAATAATCATAAATGACAAAATTAACATAGACATTCAAGGACAAAGAATAAATTATGATAGAAACTTTAGATTAAATATATTGAAAGAAATAGATGTGTTAGTATTAGGTTACATTTATTTAAATGTTTTGAATTAAGATAGTCACTAATTTTTCATACCGATTATGTCATCCAATATACTATGGTGACAATCTCCTTATCAAAACAAAAGGGAATAACCTACCCTATATCCTCTTAATCTTAGTAACAATTTATAAAGTTGTGTTTAGGTGTATTAAAATCCCACATTTTTTAGAAATATTATCTTAAAATCCCAATATGATTACCTCTAACTCTATTATATATATAATTATGATTTAAAATTATTAAATTTTTATTTTAGATAACTAATACAATATTCCACACATATTTTTATCATAATAATTTACTCTAATTGACTTGTAGTCCAAAAGAGACACAACCCCCAATTCTTAAGTATATAGGTACAAAGAGGTTCAGGCGTGATAAATGAATTTATTTATCAATCATGTATCTTATTCATTCACAATTAATAAATTATAACAATCTAATCATTAAAAATTATTAGATACTTCTTTTTATCAATTTAAATTAACAGATAATCATAAAAGTGTTTTATACGCTAATTTTAATTAATAAAATAAAATATCAAATAATTTTAAATTTTTTAAAAATTTGAAAACTAAATCTATACATTAAAAATATTTTATTCGACAATTGAATTGTTAAAATTTAATGTAAATTATAAGTTATTAAATAGAATTAATTTAAATACACATATTTTTAAAATAAGTAAATTCTTATATATATATATATATATATATATATATCACAGCTGTTGACCTCGTTAAGCTAAAGAAGCTATTGAAGAAAAAAGCACTTATACACTCTATTCAAATTTCCAATCAGGGGGCGACACCCCAAGCCAGGAGATGCCAGCTTTCATGAGACTTTTTGTCTTGAATACTTTAATTTAGTGTGTGTTTGCATTTAAGTTGGAACTTGATTTTCACGTTTATCTTCAAGCAAAATTTTTTAACTTTTACGTAAAATTGAAGAGAGAATATAAAATCTACGTTTTTAAATGTAATCCAAACATCCACTTAATCGTATGGTCCAATTACCAGTTTAAAAGTCAGATGGAAATATTTCAATATAGAAGAAAGTTAAAATCTGCATTCTACAACAAACCGAGTCTTTTTTATACTTTCACAACGTAAATTTTAAAAATTATTATCTCCATTCTTATGTATAATTTTCAACTTAAAATAATTATTTATTTCTTAATTCATATTCTATTATTTATTAATTATTTTTATATTAAGATATTTTTAATTAAAATATATTTTCTTAATTTAATGAAATTAATTAATTATAAATTCTATCAAAACACCTTAATTAATTATGAAAAAGAAGAATATTAATTAAGAGAAAAAAATAGTATATGACATACATTATAATTAGTTAAATAATATATAAGTATTAATTATGAATAAAGATGATTTAAAATATATATATATATATATATATATATAAATACGATAAATTTATTCTTATCAACTAAAATAATTATTTTTTTAGTCCTAATAAATTACATAATTGAGTCTTATACATTATAATAAAAGTAATATTAAAATTAGTTTGTTAAATTTTGACATTGTTATCATAAAAATACTATTCGCACCATTTTGAAGATTTTCGTTAGACAGAATTCTATCATCACGGCATCTAATATAAAACCTAATTACTTTTTTGTTAAGCTTAAGTCTGTTTTTATATTTAAAAATATGTTACTTCTATTTGGGAAGGTAATTTATCTTTAATTACCATTTAATCTCCTAACTTCTAGTAGCACATTGATATTCCTAAATAATTGACGTATTATAAATTTTTTAATAAAAGAGTCGAGTAATCAATTATTAATAGGAAATCAATAGGCGATTAAAGAGGATACACAATTTCTTATAGTCGTTGAAGAAAGACATTGAAGAAAGACTAATTATTTAATTAGGTTCGGTCAGCAGCCTAGGAGGATATACAACCCAACCTCCAATTATTCAAGAAAAAAAAATAAATTAAATAAAATAAACATCTCTTAAAAATTAAACTTAATTCATTTTACTTTATACAAGGGTTAATTTAATATAAAAAAATTTAAAAGATAAAAAATATACTTAAATTTATATAGAGGAACTAAAAAAAATTTCATTTATCACATATTTTCATTTGTCATAATGTGGCTATATAGAGATAGAAAAAAGAACCCACTTGACATATTATAATTAAAAAAAAAAAAAACTAATTTAATAAAAAAAATTGAAAGACCATAATTGAGTTTAAAAAATTTTAATGGGACTAAAAGTAATTTTTTTTTACAACATGGTCCCTTCTGTGTTACCCATATCTAACTGCTAAATTTTATTTGAGTAATACGAAGCTCAAGATTTTAAAACTGTCAACCTTAAATTTATATGGCAGGTGACGGGAGGGTTCGGGATTTCTATCAGCCTTAATCCTCCATAGACCATATCTATCATGATTCTTACTCCTTAGTCCTTACTCTAATGGGGTGAGCGTGATTGGCGCCTGATGTGCGCGTAATCGATGGGATTGAATGGAATGAAACTTACTTCTTCCCATCATACTAGTTCATTAGAAGAATGTTACTTTTTTTGAATGTTGTACTAAATGAGTAGTAAGAACTAAGAACAAAGAAGGATGGGAACTGATTGAGAGTAAGATTTATAAAAGCAAACCAATATATATAAACGAATGAACGAATTGATCCCTACACTACAGAGCCTAAAGTAGAATAGCAGTCGAGAGTCGAGAGTCGTCACACTAGCGTGGAGCAGGATGACGTGGCAGGATCATACAAAGCAGGAAGCAGGTACTTCCTTCCGTTGGCAGCATGCGCATTGTAGCTAGCGCCAGTAGAAGAGTCCAGGAGCAGCTTCCCAGCGTAACCAGGGTAAGCCCCTTTCCCATAAACCCCAGGGCACGCAGACGCAGCCTCTAGCGGCGCCTCAGCCGGCCCCTCGAAGAACCCATTTCCAAAGGGGTTCGTGACGGTCCCGGCCAAGAGGCTACCCAGGTTCATCACCATCCCATCAAGGCCCACGTCGTTGTTCGGCGAAACCAACGGTGGGCCCTGCGGCCCATAAACTGGCTGGTGAAAGGGCCACGCGCATTGCCCCGGGCACTGGCTCTCGGAGTTCCCCACCCAAACGTAAGCGAACTTGTAGTTCTTGTTCTTCACGTGGCTTGCCGAGGAAGAACCGTGGGTCCCGCATCGGCTCATGCAGAAACCCTCCACTGCCACGTCAGCCGAAGTTAGAACCACGTTGATGGCGTTTTTCTGTTCGCCCTTGGAAGCCAGCTCGATGAGGTCTTTGCTGGTGAGGGATTTCCCCAGCGAGTAGCCTTCGTCGAGAATTTGTTTACCGAGCGAAAGAGAAAGAGGGGTGGTTTTCTTTTTGGCGGTGAGGTGGTAGTATTTGTCGGTGGTCTTCCACCACGTGGCGACGGATGGTTGGGAGGTGTGAGGGGAGGAGGGTGAGAGGGAGGTGATAAAATCGGAGACTATTGCCTTTTGGGAAGGTTTGAAGTGACCGTACCAAATGAGGTTGATGGAGATTTGGCCAGAGAGAAGAGGGCCATTGTGGTAATGGAGAAGCTGAGTTTGGTCCTGAACCACCTCGTTCAACCTCCTGGTAGCCAAAGAGATGTGAAAAACACAGAATAGAAAGAAAATCTTGAAGAGGAAAGTGGACATTTTTAAAAAGCTGCGCTAAGAAGCTGAGATAGCTTGCAAATTTGGTGTGTTAAGAGATGGTGATTGGTGAGTGTATATATATAGCAATATAGGTGAGAGATGTGGGTGTGGTACGAGTAATGGCCAGTAAGAAAGAGAAAGTGTAGATAGGTACTAGCGCGTTTGTTGATTGAAAAGTGAAAAGTGTAGCGGAGTGTATGGAGAGCGTTTGAAAAGAAAGAAAGTGTATGGAGAGAGGGAAAGAGAGACGTTAGGTGACAGTCTGGATTGTCTAGGAAAGTGTAAGTAATTAACTGGCATTTACGCAATGGCAGCTAGCTTATCAATGGTTGTGGCCTGTGGGTATCCGAGGAACCACGCGATGGAGTATTGCAATTTAGAAACATGCATATCCTACTCATACTCACACCTAGTACAAATAGTAACGTTGCTAAGCTGTCTTTTTCTTTTTCTTTTTTAAAAACAGCCACGTTTGTAATGTTTCAATGTTCGCGCCAATGTTACACAACTATTGGAACTTCTAGACTTCAGTTCCACAAATTATACACTCGTTAACTTGATCAGAGGCCTTTTTACCCGGTAAATAGTGTTTGGTCAAACAAAACAAAGGTTTTCAAATGTAAAAACTGTATCATTTGATGAAGGTAGTGATTCAAGGTTAATCCAGTTACTCAATCACATATCACAATTTGCTAAATTCTTCATTGAGGTAGTTTAAAGTTTCCACGTTAGTCTAATTACCGAATATCCCTTGGGATTATGATCAAATTCAAGGAATATTTTTTAAGAATAATAGTCTTGGAGTCTGCATAAAATATTTCATTTTTTATGAGCCAAAAACAGCACTGCCAATAGGTACAACTTACACCATGTCTTTTATTTTACACATTGCTTATGATAACGACACTCTAATCTTAACTTACACTTGCATTTAAATATGTAATTGACGTAAAAGAGAAGGAAAAAACCATGCTTCATGTCTGCTTGCAATGGCCTAAATTCCCGATAATCGGAAAAGACAACCCCAGCGCTTCTTATGGTGCATGCACCTCAAGACTGGGACTGCTCTGTTTCAAATTTTAACAGACATGACATTTAATACTTATTAATTTTAGTGTCTTAATCAATATGGTTGGGGGCATATATGAGACAAACCCATTCATTAGACAAGCTCATTGCATATACATAGCCATTATTAATTCTTTTTATGTCTGCAATGTTGGCCTTAATAGCTGTGCTCAGGGCTGTTAAAAAAACCAAAAAGAATGAAATTGAATTTAAAACCAGACCAAACCATTTAAAAAAAACGGAACCAATTATAATAAAATTGAACCGGATTTAATTTTTAAAATAAAACTTAAAAACTGAACCTATTTTTTTAAAAAGGTTTGGTTCACTAAAACCATAAAACGGAACATGCATGACAATTGCTCAGCCAACCCTCTCACTCACTCTATCTCGCACGACGCACACTCTCTCTTTCTTAGAATCTCGAATCTCGATCTCTCACAACAAAGTCTCGCAATCTCGCACTGCACTCATTCTTAATCGTTGGCAATTGCAGTACCCAAAGCCCCAAATTGCCAAGTAAAATTTCAGAGGAAGAACCATAAGGTGTAGTTTCACAAGTTCAAAGAGGTTAGCTTTCGTTTCCTTTTCTGTCGGAACTCTAGTTTTTGCTATACATAGCTTATGGGTTTTAATTAGCTTCTATTAATTTGATTTAACCTATAGTTTTGTAGTTATAAGTTTACTTTGTTTATCAGGTTAGTCATGAATGATTTTATTACTTGAGCATTTGAATAGTGATTGTCTTTTTGCTTGGCAATTTTTGTGCATAGGAAGGGATTTTAGGATCATTTCTCTGGATATTTGTCTGTTGTGAACAGTAACTGCTGGTATATGGATATTTAAAATTTTTAGGTCTATGAAGGAGTTTTTTTAATGTGTTATTGTGTTTAAATTTATTACTGTTCAATCTATAGATCTTCAAGACAACTACATCAATCAATGGCTTATCAAGATGGCATTTTGCCCTTTGAGACAACAAATCATTTAGTTTCTCCTCCACCTACTGCTGTCTCTAACACAAGTAGAATGCCACCTCCTCGTAGTTTTGATTCACGTAAAAATCGATCTAAAGTATGGGATCATTTCACTAAGGAATCCAATGAAGATAAGATAGTTAAATGCAACTATTGTGATAGGTTGATTAAATTTGAAAGTGGAACAAGTGCAATGCGAGCTCGCCTATGTAGATGCCAAAATAACCCAGATAAAGAAGTAAGAAAGAAACAAAAGTCAAATTTATCCACAAATGTTGTTTCTTCTCCTTCCTTGGCTAGGCCTAAAATCGACCAGGAAACATGTTAGAATGCATTGGTCAAAATGTTCATAGCAATGGAACTCCCCTTTCAAAATATTAAGCATGAAGCTTTGCGAGAATTTTTAAGCATTATAGCACCTTCTCTTACTGTCTACTCACGCACTACCCTAGCACGTCATATTTTGAAACTTTGGGATAGTGAAAAAGCAAAGCTAAAAAAGTTTCTTTCTCGACACTGTCATAGGGTTTGCCTCACCACTAACATGTGGACTTCACATCAAAAATCTAGGTTACATGTGTTTGACAGCTCATTTCATCGACAATAACTGGAAGTTGCAAAAGAAGATATTAAATTTTTGTCAAGTCACAAGTCACTCAGGAAAGACTATGGCTAAGACAGTTGAGCATTGCTTGAGTAGTTGGGGCTTGAATCGGGTTCTTAGTTTAACAGTTGATAATGCCTCATCGAATGATGTTGGAATCCAAATCTCAAGAAGAGGCTAATGTCATGGAACAGTTTGGTTATGAAGGGAGATTATGTTCACATGCGTTGTTGTGCACATATTCTTAATTTAATTGTGAAAGATGGATTCAAAGAAAATATTGATGCTGTTGTGAGAATTCGTGCCGCTATCAAATATGTAAGATCTTCCCCTTCTAGGCTATCTAAATTCAAGGCATGTGTTGAGCAACAAAACATTGAATTTAAAGGGCTTGTTTGCCTAGATGTTGAAACCAGGTGGAATTCTACATACTTAATGTTGGAAGCTGCATTAAAATATCAAAAGGCATTTGAAGAGCTTGAGATGCAAGATAAAAAATACATTGAAGAGTTAGAAAAAGGGAGGGTGTTCCTACATTTGGTGATTGGGAGTTTGTGCGTGGTATCTTACCATTTTTAAATTTGTTTTATGATGCTACTATGCGTATCTCTGGTTCATCTTATGTGACTAGCAATATGTACATGTTTGAGGCCTTCGGGATTGGAATAAAGATTAAGCAAATGTGTGCTTCCAAGGATGTGATTATAAGTATGATGGCTGAAAACATGAAAAAGAAATATGAAAAATATTGGGGCAATCCTAATCGATTGAACATGTTATTATTGATTGCTCTTGTGTTGCATCCAATATATAAGTTAAAATTCATGCATTGATTGATTAATCAAAGTTTTGATGGTGTTGTGGCATCTAATTTGAAAGACAAAGTGGAATCAAGTATAAGATTACTTTTTGTAGAGTATAATGGTGGGGGAGTTGAGTTTGAAGCTAACTCACAGGAAGCTCGACTCAATGAAGAAGCAAGTGACGATCCTTATGGCTACAACCAGTTTTTCAAATCAACTGTATCTCATAAATCTGAATTAAGTAAATACCTAGAGGAAGCCTTAGAAGAGAGTCAAGGAGATTTGGATGTTTTAAATTGGTGGAAGCTAAATTCGGGTCGATTTTCAATTCTTTCAAACATGGCAAGAGATTTGCTTGCTATACTTGTTTCTACTGTGGCCTCTGAATCTGCCTTTAGTACCGGAGGAAGAGTTCTTGATGCATATTGTAGTTCTCTTACACCACAAATGGTGGAAGCACTTATTTGCACGCAAGATTGGCTCAAAGGGACACTTTCACCATTGTCCTTGAATGAAATAGAGGATTTTGTGGAGCTTGAGAAATTTGAACAAGGTAATAATTTTTTTAATTGCCTTACACTATTATTTTATTATCTACTTAATATAACATGACTAACTACTAATTGAATATTTTTCTTTATGTTGCAGATATTGTCCCCTCACAAGATGGTGCTTATTCAATCTCCTCCGTTACACTTGATGATGATTAGAGAAACACTTACATTGTTTACATTTGATCTGATGTGTACAATGGAATATCTGATGTGACTTTGCAATCTGTTTTTGCTCATAGTTCGTGCTTCATTAAGTTACTCAAATTTATTCTTTGTAACTTTTGGAGACAAGTTATTGATATTAAGTTGTTCCATTTGCTTTAGTTCTCCACAATTTTCACGTGGTTGCTGATCTCAGCTATCTTTTGCTATTCTGATTCCTACTTTACCTTTATATTGTATGATACTCTATCTTTGAATTTGAAAGCCGTGAAGAAAATCATTTTGGTTGGACACCAAAGATTTTAATATAGAACTGAACCACTTTTTCTAACATAGTTGAAACTTGGTATGTTTTGTGCTTATCGCTCTTGCTATTGGATCTGCTCTTTAAGTTTTAAGCAGATGTTCAATTTCTTGGAAAAGTATGCAAGACATCAGGTTTTACTGCACCTATTAAGCAATCCTTGTATCAATCTTGTGAGTTTCATTTTTGTAATTTGTCTTGATTCCACAAGAATGGAGAGCCCATATTTAGTTTTGTTTTATTTTTCTCGTGTTCCCCAAGGCTGGGGTAGATTGACTAATATTACTCATGTGCTGTCTAAATTTTCTACAACCTGGTCGAGTTACTTGGGTATAAAGTTTTGCCTTTAACTTGATTTATTGTTATTGTAATATAAAATGTACCGGGAATGAGTGATTCTTTCATCAATAGCAATTCTAAATATCAAAGCTGTTATAAAGTTATCTAAATCATTTTTATTTTGGTGTTAAATTGTGAATTTGCATTTTTGGATGAATTAGTGTTCAGGTTGACAAAAATCTAAACATTTTGATGCTAGTTGGCTATCTTCTTGAAGTTGCAGCCTAGTGAGTGAAGTATTTACACTTC